GATTTTAGGAGGATGGAGAGACTAATGTCGATGTCGAAGTGTGATACAGTGACTTGGTGAAATGTTTTACGACCCCAGAGTTGATGCGTTGGCCAGGAATCCAAGAACTGTATGGGCCGATCTTGCGTAAATCGAAAGTGTTTGGTCCGGCTGGGATCGCCGGATTGGAAGGAGATCTAGAGGATGAAGAGGTTGATCCGACGAGCAACTCAGGCGAGACGCGATGGCAGGAGTTACACAAACGGGTTGTCGAACATGTCAGTCTGATTGTTCAATACCAGCAGTCTCTTGTGTACTGATTTTTTTTTTAAAAAAATTTAGAACATTCGAGCGGTATCCAAGTATTATACTCGCTTGACGATCCAAAGGTTATCCGAATTACTCGACCTGACGATCCCGGAATCCGAGGCGACCTTAGCCAAACTGGTCAGTTTGAAGACAGTGTTTGCCAAGATCGATCGACCGTCTGGGATCGTTCGATTTAGTAGTGGTAGTAGTACTCCTAGTCATACTACTACTAGTGGTGAGAGTGTGCTCAATCAGTGGAATGATGATGTGGGTAAACTGTTGGGTCTGGTCGAGAAGACTGTTCATCTTATTCAAAAGGAGTTTGCTCTCCAAGGAATCAAATAGATCTTCCCTCTCTAGTTGTTCTCGTTGTTTTTGTTTTTTGTTTTTTTTTATGTTACATTAATAAAAAACTTCAATGATCATGTGCTTTGTGAGTGAGAAGTGTCCGGGTGCAGCAGACCTGGTCAAGTAGTAGTTGTATGTGCGTGAGTTGGCTCTGTGACAGGTGTGAGTGTGTGACAGCTTGGCTGGTTTGTTTCCCAACTCAATATTTCACTCCAGCCAACTTGACTCCCCCCCTCAGTGCTCACCATAGGAAAATCCAAGAACCAACCACTACGAATACGATGATCGATCCATCATCCAAGCTCATCTTCCAAGGATCACTCACCACCAACTACAACCCAGCAACAACCACAGCCACACCAGGATCAGCCGAACAACTATCAACACAGAGCAGCACTCGAAGGAATAAAAACAACAACAACCATCCAAGCTCACAGTACTCAGTCCTCTACCTCGACGGCCGGCTGGAGTGCTACCCTGGCGACCCATTCTCAGTCGGCTCACCACACGAAGCATCAAAACCGATCCACATCCTGCACCTCAACCCACTCGACAGGTGGTCTCTCATCTCCATCCCAAACAAGAACAACACCAACAACAACTACCCATTCACACTCTCAAAACAACCTCCAAACAACTCACTCACCCATCTCGGACTCGATGTCGAAGCAATGGGAGCACGAGCAGCTGACTCGGCAAACCTCAAATCAAAAGACCGCAAATCTCTCAAACAGATCCTCGGCTCATTCAGACCAAAACAGAGACCACTCAACAACACCAACACCAACACCAACAAGCTCATCGACCTCATCGACCCCCATCCCGACCTACCTCCACTCCCCCAAGATAACAACAACAACAACAACCCACCCCCCCAACTCAAATCAAGATCATCCCAACTCAACAACTCCAAACTCACCTCCCCCTCATCCACCCTATCCCCTCACTCATCAATCCATCTCCACCAGCAGCTACCCAACTCACTCACCTTCTCAACTCACTCCGAAAGCTCAAGAAAACAATGGATCACCGCCTTCCTCTCAGTCTTCCGTCTCATGTCCGACCTCGAATCATCTTCATCATCAGCTTCATCATCAGCCAACCTCTCTCCAGACTATCATCATCAACAACAACAACAACAGACTCCCATCAGATCAACACACTCTAACCCTTCCTTCAATCATCAACTACAGCAGCACCAGCAGCACCAGCAGCAGCAACAACAACAACAGCAACACACTAGTAGAATCCCACTAGCACCCATCTCATCTCAACTACCCCAGTCAAACTCGCAAACCTCTGTCTCCACCTCCCAAAACATCAACCTCTCTCCAGTCGATCTCTTCAGTAATCCCAGTCCCACTCACTCTCATCCGGAACCTCAACTAGCTCACTCTGCATCGACCAGCAAGAACCCTCATCAACAGCAATCCTCACCCTCATCCATCCCCATCAACAACAATCATCTACCCGAAAACTCGCCCCCGAAGATGGCCGTAGCTGTCCCTGCTTGGATCAAGGCTGTCCGTAATGCAGACCAACTCAAACAGGAACAACAAGATCATTCATCCTCATTTGATGGCCACTCCCCTCAACAGACTGACTCAATCACCCAATCGTTTCTACCACAACGCTTGGTCAGCAAACAAAACTCGACTGATTACTATCCTAGTCGGGAGGGATCAATCGACCATTACCATCAACAACAGCAACACCAGCTATCATCATCTCTCATGTCACACTCATTCTCAGCCCCAGCCCCGATATGTTCCAATCAAAGTCTGGATTCAGGAGCAGCTCGGATCGGATATCCAGGCTCAAAACCGGCCATGGCAGCCTCCATCAAATCCTTTGGATCCTCGATGGTCCAGAACTTAAAACGAGCAGGCTCATTGACCGAATGGCCAGAATATGCCAACTCGGGGCCTTCGATTCTTCAACGGATGCGCGAAAGTAGCGATGGGATCAACGACAGTCCTCGCCCATTATCTCCCGGTGGACCATCGAGCGAGACAACAAACGACTCGAAACGGACCTGGCTATTTAACGTCGTCAAGAAGAAGAGCAGTCTTGAGAATCATCATCATAAACCATTCAATCAACCTTCGCCTACAACAGCCTCGACTTCAGCCCCTCGTTCCAACAGTCGAACCGCTGCCCGATACGGGATTTATATGCTCAAAGGACTCTCCTCTACTTCCTCAATCTCCTCTTCCTCCCATCATTTCCCTCCCTCCTCGCGTGAAACTGACTCCTTGTATCATCATCATCCGTCGCTCGATCAAGTTGAACAAGACGACCTTCTTTCTCACCACCAATCAGCCGACCAAACCACATTCCCCCAACTCCCTCAACCTCTCACCTCTACTTCGACTACAACCAACTCAAATACAACCACAAACACCACGATGACCAATACTACTTCTAAATCTTCTACCTCTGTCAAACGTCCTCAAACTGCCCAAACTAAGAAAGCCTTCTCGGATTGGTTGACGACGACGTCTTCTCAAGCTGCCCTTCGTCTCCGGCAATCCTCCAGTGACTTTAGCCAAAACCCTACCTCTGCAAACCATCATCAGAAGAGTCGCTCGGTGACGTCGACTCGATGGGCCAGCCTCTTCCCCTCTGGCTCATCATTCCAAACTCGACCCTTCCTTACTCAAGCCTAATCATCATCATCAACAACAACAACAACAGGTCGGCTTGAGTATCTTGAATCATCACCAAATCGACCCCCACTCGGCCGAAGCTGAGACAGGCGCCCCATTTCATCATCTCCTCCGGCATCAACAGAAACCTCTTCCAATCCCAGAAAAGC